TGGGCTTCCGAAGGCAACGTTAGACACCCACAGGCCCCGCCCTCAAACGCTTCTCGGCAGCCGGCAGGCCTGCCCCGGCCTCTCTGTGGCCTGTCCGAAGCCTGCCTCTTCTCTTCACCCACGGGCCCCGCCCGCAAACGTTTCTGCAGGCCGCAGCTTGGCCCACAAAGCTTCTTCTATGGGCTTCCGAAGGCAACGACGCGGCCTCTCTGTGGCCTGTCCGAAGCCTGCCTCTTCTCTTCACCCACAGGCCCCGCCCGCAAACGCTTCTCGGCAGCCGGCAGGCCTGCCCCGGCCTCTCTGTGGCCTGTCCGAAGCCTGCCTCTTCTCTTCACCCACGGGCCCCGCCCACAAACGTTTCTGCAGGCCGCAGCTTGGCCCACAAAGCTTCTTCAAAGCTTTTTCTATGGGCTTCCGAAGGCAACGTTAGACACCCACGGGACATTGGATTTGCGTTTCAGGGTGTGGCATCGAAGCTCTGTTTTCGTGACAAGTCTCAGCTGAAATGGGAGGGGACGGTGCTCTGAACGGGTCGAAATTATTCCAAACGTGTGGTGTGGTGCAAATTTTGTTGAAGCTCACGTGCGATGATATTGTCACTTTTCGTGGCAGGCGCAGGACTTCGTGCGGGCTTTGAAGCGTGGAAGTGCGATTCTCGTGGCAGGCGCAGGGAATCGTGAGGTTGCGAGGTGTGAGGGGAGGTGACATTTCGTGGCAGGCACAGTACTTTGTGCGCGTTAGACGTGCGGATGGGGAAAGATTCGTGGCAGGCGCAGGGAATTGTGAGGTTGTGAGTTGTGGTAGAGGTGAATGTCGCTGTCCCATTGGGATTGGCGTGTGAGCGGATGTTGTTTGGAGGGGCTGGAATCGCGAAACTGCTTGGCAGGGCTGCGTGATGTGTGGTGTTTCCGCCAGACTTTTGGAGGAAGTCTCGAACGAAACGCTCCTTTTGCAGACATTGTGACGTGTGAGTTTTTGAGGAAGTCTCGTACGAAACAATCGTTTTGGAGACTTGACGCGCAACCCTCTGCGGAGATCGTGCGTGTCGAGTGTGCGAAATGCAAGCGAGAGTGCGATTTGTCCCATGCGCGCACAACCCTCTGCGGAGATCGTGCGTGTCGAGTGCGCGAAATGCAAGCGAGAGTGCGATTTGTCCGGTGCCCGCGCAACCCTCTGCGGAGATCGTGCGTGTCGAGTGCGCGAAATGCAAGCGAGAGTGCGATTTGTCCCATGCGCGCGCAACCCTCTGCGGAGATCGTGCGCGTCGAGCGCGCGAAATGCAAGCGAGAGTGCGATTTGTCCGGTGCCCGCGCAACCCTCTGCGGAGACCGTGCGTGTCGAGCGTGCGAAGTGCAGGTCGAACAGGACAGGATTTCGAGCCTTGGTCCTTGGTTCTTAACCTACTTCAGCATCGGTCCCAGGGACAGACTCCAAGTTACCCATCCGCAGTAGGATTCCTCCTGAAAAGGGGTCGGCGGCACCCGGGCGAAGCCCTTACAATCCGGGCGCCGGCCACGGGCCCGTGTCCTTGCCGGAGGCCTTCGGTTGGTAACCGAAGGTTATATACGCTCGCCGCCCCTGCCGCCGACCCTTTTGTTGGACCGCGGGGATACCCCCGCCCGACCCCCGCCCGAATCCGCCCGACAGATTTATATGTATCTTGCGCTGGATGTTCGAAAAATGTTCAAAAACATCGTTTTTTACAGTGTTTCGTGGCCTTCGGCGTCCACGACAGGGTGCCCGTGGTGTCGGTTTTGCGTGCCGCGCGGACAGGCTTAATCGACATTTCGTGGGTGTTGGGCACATGAGTTGCCTTACATATCCCTAACATAGGCCCAAGATAGCCAACATATCCCCAACATATGTCCAACATAGCCTCCAAGATGGCTCAACATAGGGCCAACATAGACCAACATGGGGCCAACATACGCCAACATAGGCCCAACATAGGCCCAACCTAGGCCAACATAGGCCTAACATAGGCCGACCTAGGCCCAACATAGGCTCAACATGGGCCCAAGATGCGCCCAACATAGACCACATGGGCTCAACTTGGCCCAACCTGGGGCCAAGATGCGCACCAGATAGCTTAACTTTGCTCAATAGGAGAGGGAAAGAGAGAGAGTGAGAGAGAGGGAGAGGGAAAGCGAAAGCGAGAGAGAGGGAGAGAGAGAGAGGCAAAGACAGCGAAGACGGAGACAGAGAAGACCGAGACAGAGACAGAGAAGACAGAGACAGAGACTGACAGAGAAAGAGACAGAGACAGAGACAAAGACAGGGACAGAGACAGAGACCGACAGCGAGAGAGAGAGAGAGAGAGGGAGAGGGAGAGGGAGAGAGGATCCAGTGCGCGGACTCTAACCCAAATTGGCCGGCGCCCGGCTGTCAGGCGTAAGCCTCATAAATATTCTTTAAACATCTTTTAACACATAATCGAGGGTTTGCACGTTCGCCCCCAAGGAGGTGATTGATCGAGGGTGTAGAACGCCCTGAATGGTATTCCCACCGGAAGCTTTCACTATTGCCACGAGCCAATCTTATATGTTTCATATGGAACTTCGCCCATCTTTTGCTGCATAATTCAAGCGACCGTTCCAATTTGTTCGTGCTCAAGGGGACGTATGAAAGCTTGTGTGGAGCATGAGAAATCTCGAGCAAGAAAAGCAAAGCTCACCATCCACAATACTTCATTCCTGAGTTGCACGATTTACAGGAAGCCAAGTAGCAGCGCAAGGACCTCTAGAGGCGCCATTGGAGCTGCTTGGCCTCCAGAACTGATCTGACTAAACTTTCGCATTTGCACCCAGAACTGATGAGATCACATGATATCGATTTCTGAAGCTGGGCGGCCTGGAAGAATCCACCTGGACCAGCTCAAAGGACAAAGCAGTGATTTTATAGAGTGACTCATGGCTATGCCTGGTGGCCACATTGGCGGCAAAAGCTGGAGCCAGGCCTTTGGCCACTAACTCGCCAAGCTGAAAGCATGAAATGCACTTTAGTCTAACACTGGAATCCTGTCGGCATTGCAACTGCGAAAAAGAATGTGCTTCCTCAAGCAGCTGAGTCAGCTGAGCTTTTAGCGGATATGGGGCGCCACATTTATCGCAATACCCGGCCACCAAGGAAGCAACCTCTGCAAGCCACCAAGCAAACCAGAAAACAAACAATGAAGAACTCAAAACCTGTTGCATCTTTCATTTTGATGTATATCAAGATTTCCAAACTATGATCCTGTTATTTTGGTGAGCCTGATCCAGCAGTTGACGTTTGAACAGCAAACACAGCTTCAAGTTAGTGCCTGCCAGTGCCTGCCTCCAAAACTCAACATCTTCTTTCCACACCTTCCTTTCTCTCCCAAATGCCGGGCAAAAACCTTGTTAATAGAGTCGAGTACTCGCTTGGAGGGGCACCCAACAGTTTGTCCTTAAACTGCTTCGCCAACAAAGAAACCATGTGCGGACCTTTAGAAGTCCTTTCTAGCACACATCCTGCACATTGATCCTGATGTTCGTTGTTGCTTCTGAAACTAACCGCACACAACACTTTGCAAACCCAGCCAACCTTCAAGATCTCACCACATAAACTGAGGCCAATTTGAATGCTAGCTAGATGAATCTTCCATAGAGCTGCAGCAAAATTTCATGGCACAGTGATGTCCAAGATGTCATTTTGCAATAAGTGCCACGCACACACACAAACAAAGGGGCAAGCAGCAAAAGCAAAACGCAAACTCCCAACCCCATGGCACAGCACCGCGGGAAAGCTCTGAGACCCACGGCCCAAGTTGCATGGCACAGCAAAGCAACAGCACAAAGGTCTGAGGAAAACGAGAAAAACTCATGTTTCCGTATATATTTTTTTGTGGCACCCTCATGCTGCAATAGCACTACGAGAGAGGGGAGGTGCCAAAGCCATGGATGGTCACTTCTTGTATTGAAGTTGCGCTGCAAAGTGCGGCTGGTCTGGTGATGTGCCAGTAGCTGAACCTCAAGCATAGTGTTCAAGCTATCTTCATCTCTGGTCTGTGGCCACTGTAGTTTCCAGTTGTCTTAGCTTCTAGCTATCTTACACATGTCATATGTAGTAGATATATAATATCTTTATTCAGCAATTTGGATCCATCTACTTCTGTCTCCAGCTATCATAATCTCTGCTCTCGTATATAACCTCAGTTGCAGTCAGTGTCAACCTTCCACGACCCAAACAAACCTTTACAAAGCCACAGGTTTGCAACGGACTTCTCAGGCAGCCCTGCAAATTGAAACCCTGACCTGCGTCCCCTTGCCAGAACCCAATGCATTTTTGCGTGTACGGTAGCTTTTCCGAAGGATGAACTCCTAGTCGCAGAATTCCAAAATCAGTGCACACAGATTCATTTTGCATAGCTTGGCATAGCCTTTAGTCTCCCACTTGGAAGTTCCCTTCCAAGCCTTCTTTGGACAAAATCTGACTGTTCAATGTCTCAAATGAACAGCACCTGATTCATTGTAAAACAGTTTTCCACTTCCAAACACATCACCCTCATGCTTAAAATGTCTATTTAGTGACATGGATGTCTGGAGTTCTCGTCTCCCCTTTGCCAGGCCCAAGTTTCACCTTGACTGAAGCCATCACAGTAGAGAAAATGGAACAAGAGGTTTAAGAGCTTCAACAAGATGTAAGGCCCGAGGCATCAATCAGAAAGGCTACATTTGTTTCCCAAACAGTGTGGGCACACTGAGGGGTTCCTACAGTAGGGGAAGGGAAGCTGATGCTTAGATCGCTGAAGCGCGCGGGCGTGAACGGCTAACTCGTTGCTATTTCTCGACGTCCTCCAAGTGCATTTCGACTGCGCAGGCTCCCAGAATCTGGGTGTCTGTCGCGGGTGCTTCTAACGACTGCGCTCCCGTTGTGGTGCCGTGCGCATTTTCGCACATGGTGATCACTTTTTGTGGCAGGCGCAAGGGAAACCTCGTGTTTTGGTGATCCAAAGTCGACTTTTCGTGACAGGTGCAAGGGATCGGAGCGGTTTTACTTCGAAATGCAGTTTTCGTGGACCGCTTTGTGAACCTCGAAGTGCAGATTTCGTGGCGGGCGCAGCGCATGGTGAACCTCGAAATGCAGATTTCACCCTCCCCCACTCTCACTCTCACTCTCACTCTCACTCTCACCCTCACCCTCACCCACACTCACTAACACCAACCTTCACTCTCGCTCGCGCTCACTCACACTCACTCTGACTCTCACTCACACTCACACTCACACTCACACTCGCGCTCACTCACGCTCACTCTCCCACACTCACTCAGACACACTCTCACTCTCACCCACACTCACTAACACCCACCTTCACTCTCACTCGCGCTCACTCACACTCACTCACACTCGCACTCACGCTCACTCTCCCACTCTCGCTCACACCCACACTCCCTCTCACCCACACTCACTCACACCCACCTTCACTTCATCACCACCATCACCTCTCTGGACCCCAACGCGTCTAATCTCTAGACTTTCTGCTTGCAGACCTCACACACACTGTTTGGGGTCTCTTGCCGGGATAATGTTTCTTCAACAAAAACTAGTTGATGACCAGTCATTCTTGAATGTGTGTGTGTATATATATACACACACATCTTTTCTTTCGCATCTGTTCATGTGTTGATATGATAAGGTAACTGTAGTCTCTGTCTCTCGCCGTGCTACTTCAGCCTGAGAGGTGCACGGCTGGGGATGGCCTGCTTTGCCCGGTTGAAATCATGGTCACATTGTCTTGCGGCACCTGCAGCTGTGGACGAGCACATCTCGAAAAAGCTTCTCCAACACCAGAGCAGGCCTCAAAGATTGGCGCCTCGCTGACGGGTCTTGACCTGTCCCAGAAAGAATGCAAAAAACATCCTGCAATAAACTCCATCACAATGTTGCAAAATGCTTTGGGTAAACGGGTGGGCCGATTCCTTGCAGGTGGTGAGGGCAAGCTAGTTTGCAGAAACGCCAGAGCTGCAAACTAGCTTACCTCACTCCCACCCCCAAGCAAGGCAAACAAGGAACACTGAAATAATTTTCTTGAAAAACTATCAGACTGGATAACCCCACACGTTAGCAACTTCACCAGACACAGGAGCGGACAATTGGTGGTTGGTGTGGTGGACGGGCGGCGGGAAGAGGAGGAGGAAGACCGAGCGGATACACATCACGACCCCAGCGCGTACATCCTTGGCGAGCACCAGGTACCGCGCCTGCCACGCAAATCACACCACACCGGCAAGCCTGCGGCGACCAAGCATCCAACCCCTAGAGAGCACCAAGTACCGCGCGTGCCGCGCGAATCACACCGGCAGGGCTGCGGGGACCAAGCGACCCCAGCGTGTACATCACCAAGTACCGCGCCTGCCATGCAAATCACACCGGCAGGGGTGCGGCGACCAAGCGGCCCCAGCGCGTGTGCCCAACCACATCGGGAGGGCTGCGGCGACCAAGCGACCCCTGCGTGTCATCCAACCCCTTGGAGAGCACCAAGTACCGTGCCTGCCCAGCAAATCTACATCCGACCCATTGGAGAGCAGCAAGCACCGCGCCTGCAACGCAAATCACACCGGCAGGGCTGCGGGGACCAACCCCTGGGAGAGCACCAAACACCGCGCCTGCCACCCACCCACCCACCCACCCAACCAACCAACCAACCAACCAACAAACAACCAAACCAACCAAACTAACCAAACCAACCAAACCAACCAAACCAACCAAAATTACCAAACCAACCAAACCAACCAAACCAACCAAACCAACCAAACTAACCCAACCCAACCCAACCCAACCCAACCCAACCAACCACCAGCCACCAGCCACCAACCACCAACCAACCACCAACCACGTGGCAGGCACGGTACTTGGTGCTCTCCAAGGGGTCGGATGTACTCCCTGGGGTTGGTTGGTTGGTTGGTTGGTTGGGTGGGTGGGTGGGTGGGTGGTTGGTGGTTGGTGGTTGGTGGTTGGTGGTTGGTTGGTTGGGGTTGGTGGTTGGCTTGTGGTTGGATGAGCAGCGGGAGGGCGCGAGGAGGAGAGGAGCGGATACACCACTAAAAAAACCACACGTCAATGTGGGGAACAAAGACCAATCATCTTTCTCTTCTGCAGCTTCCACTTAAACAAACCTGCGCCAAACTGCAAAATGGCAGCAATGTGACCCTTGGGCTTGGAAGCATCTCGGCCCAAACCCAGTCCTTTAAACTGCACTAGTCTTTGGATACAAACATGAGATCCTACGTATGCAAAAGTAGCTTGGATAACCTCAGTTGGAAATCTTGGAGGATTGACTCATTGATAAGCATATTTTTGAACGCACTATTGTAAAGTCCTTCTGAGACGCAGAAGTGGAAGATCAAGGTTGCTAACACGCTTTTCCTGGACCTTGTTCCAAGGTGGCCAAATGACATGTCGAACTTAAGACTTCTCGCCTTGAAGCTTCAGCTTCTGGCAATCTGATCACCGGAGCCTGCAAAAAACACAAGTACACAAGAAGTGAATGAAAACTAGGAAAACCACATGTGAAATGAGTGTGTCAGCAAAGGGGAGCAGCTAAATCGTGGAACCCAACTGGATTAGTATGGAATTTTTGAAAAACCTGTGGGCTCAACTGAAGTTCTGACATTTCTGGCTAAGGGAGTGCTCAGCCAGCCTTGCACATAAGCCACTGACAAAGAATGAAAAAAGGGTAAGCTTGTGAGCTGCACCAACTAGATTGGGCTCTGGGCTCAGTTGGACCGCGGCTCCCTCTGACCCCGTTTGCCGGGGCAGCAAGGGAGGGATGGATGGAGGGAGGAAGGAAGAAAACCGGAAGGTCCCAACCAAATTGCCGTGGAAGAACCTCAGCAAAGCCTTGCGATCCATGCTGGGAAGTGCTTCTTTTGTTTTTGCGTCGGAACGTCAATCGGGTCAACCAATTCAGTGCCGGGGCATGCCTGGCATTTAGCAGCAAGGAAAAAATTCAACTGGGTTTGAAAATTTAGTGCGGCCCATTTGTGGGGGTTGCAATATGAAATGAAACAAAGAAAAGAAACAATCAGAAGCATGAAAAAGAACAATTTAGGAATGTATAAAAGCACGGGCGCAAGCAATCCCAAATCGAGATCCTCGCACCTCCAGTTCACATGAAGCCTTCAGTGTTGGTAGCTTCCTGCGGATTGGAAGTTGCGATGGTGTAAAATGGTCAAAACAAACACTTCTGTCTGTCATGCCAAAAGCCGTAGAGGGCGTGGCGTTGATATCGACCTGCTGAAGTCGGCAAAGTAGAAATTGCAAACACCTAGGACCTAGAATTTTCGCTTATTTCAGCATTGCTGAGCCGCCAGCTGTCGCTACCGATCTAGCTGATGGTGTCGTATCTCCTGCTGTTGCCTTGCTAGGCTTGTACTGCTGGCCAGGAAAAACTATTTCGGATTTGCTCAGGCCCCGACAGTTGTCGGAATGTACCTGGTATTGCCCTCAGCAACGTAAAGGTGCGAGCAACCGATAAACAAATGGACAAATACAAGCACTCCAATACAAGAAGCAGCTGCCCTTGAAATGTTTGATGCCAAGCAGCTGCATTGGGAGTGGCTGGTGGGAGTGTGGGCCTAAAACGCAAGTTCCATCTATCTATCTATCCATCTACCTATCTATCTATCTATCTGATATTTATAAACTCATTGGTGTGATGAATTTCATAGTGAGCTTGATTGTGACTGCCATGGCCAACCCTGAAAGGGGAGGGCGCGAAAGCCAGCCTCTGGCTTATGGGGTGCTCTCAGGGTAGGCCCCGGGCAAAGACTTGGCGCGCATGGGGTAACATCGGGCAAAGATTAATTTCATGGGGCGAATTTGACACTGATAAGGGGCAGAAATGGAAAGTAGAAGACATAGGTCTGGGGGGGGGAGTGCCCTTTTTGCACCGGTTAAAAAGGGCACCCCTCAGGAAGTGAAGCGCGCTTGCCGGCGGCGTGTTGAGCAGAGACGGCGGTGGGGGTTCAGGGTGCCCTTTCTTTGGCGCGTTTCTCTCGCAGGCCTTTAACAGATGGCATCATGCACCCCACATGGGGCGCCCTTCGCAATCCAGTAACTAGACCTTGCCACGGAGAACAAAGGGCGCCCCTAAGCAATTCAAAACCTTCCGCCTCCAATCTCTTCTCTCTCCTGCCTGCCCTCCACCAACTCCAAATCGTCTGCCTCCAGCGTTTCGTCGCTGACCTTCCACCTCCAACGCTTGCCCGCTGCAACTTCCCTCTCCTTCCCTAACCCCCCAATCCGCGTGAACTCCCACCACATAGGGGGTGCCCTCTTCAGTTCGGTTCTCTCGCAGGCCCTCAACAGCTGGCATCACGCACTCTCCCCCTTCTCCTGCCCTCAACAACCCACCAATCCGCGTGAACTCCCAGGGAGCGCTCTCGCAGTCCGAGCTGCGGGGCACACGCATTACCACGCAACGGAACAACTCCAAGCGGTCTCCCTCCAGCGCTTGCCCGCTGACCTTCCACCTCCTACGCTTGCCTACGGCAAGGTTTTCTTCCCCTCAACAGATGGCGTCATGCAGCTAGGTGGAGTGCCATGTTCAGTCTGGCAACCCTAGCAATTCATCACTTACCCGCTGCAAGCCGTTCTCTCGCATGTCCTTGACAGATGGCATCATGCGCCCCATCTGGGATTCCCGTTTATGTACAGCAACTAGACCTCGCTACCAAGAAAAACGAAGCACCTCTAAGGAATTCAAAACCTTCCGCCGCCAACGCTTGCCCGCTGCAATCTTGTCTCTCGCCTGCCCTCAACAACCCCCCAATCCACATGAACTCCCACCGCATAGGGGGTGGCCTCTTCAAGCCGGTTCATCATGCACCCCATGTGGGGTGCCCTTTTTCAATCCAGCAACTCGACCTAGCTACGGATAGAAGAGGGCACCGCGAAGCTATTCAGGACCTTCCGCCTCCAACGCTTGCCCGCTGCAATCTCCTCTCTCCTGCCTTCAAGAACCCCCCATTCCACGTGAACTTTCACTACATGGGGAGTGCCCTCTTCAGTTCGGTTCTCTCTCGCAGGCAGGCCCTGAACAGATGCATCATGCACCCCATGTGGGGCGCCCTTTTCAGTCCAGCAACCAGACCTTGCTACAGATAAAAATGGTCAGGGCCCAAGATGTCTCCCCGAACATGATGTGGAGCTGCCCGGATGAGCTGTGTTTTGTATGCCAGCCAGTAGGTCTTGACAGTGGGCTTGGTGCCTTCTCCATTGGAGTGCTCTTCTCGCATGACCACATGAGCAGGTCCGAGCCAGCGAATCTTGTTGAGCAAGCCTTGTCTTGCATCGCGCCAAAACCAAACCTTCTCACCAAGGTGGTACTCTTTGTTCTGCCCTTGATAGCGGCGTCCAAGGGCACGGCGCAGCTTGCTGTCTGCATCAGCTGTCGTCAGGGCAATCTTGGCGGCAGTCCGGCGTTGAAGATTGGCCTCAAAGGTCTCATTGGTGCCAACAAGTTGAGCTGGATTGAGATTAGAATCCATGAGCGTGGAAAGCTCTGGCTGGTAGCCCAAGACCCATTGCGAAGGTGAGAACCCAGCCACGGATGGAGTGCCATTTTGCTGAGGCACGATGTGAGCAATGGCTTCACGGATTCCCTTCTTGTTGTTGAGGTGGCGGTCGGTGAGGTAGATCTCGATGGCCTTGCGCAAGACTGCATGTCTCCTTTCCACAAGAGCCAGGCGTTCATGGGCTTCGCCTGGTGCAACCTGATGTTCGATGCCCCAAGATGTCGTCCAGGCTTCCATGGAGGCTCCAAGCCAGGATCTGCCTTCACTGACGGGCGCCGCACAGGGGACTCATCATACAGCTCAGACATGTTTACGTTTATTTGGTTTTTCTGTTTCATTCCTCGACGCTATCTGCGGGAGTTGCTCCCGGTACCTGAAAGGAATGAAACTTTGGTGGTTTTAGTCCCTGCAGGCGCCCCTCCGAGTGAACTTCTCAGTACGATCCGTGGCCCAGCCACGCACTTTGAAGCTGAATGCAGGGTAGTGCCAGCTCGAGACCAGCCCCTAAGCTATTCAGGACCTTCCGCCTCCACCCGCTGCAACTTCTCTCTCTCTCCTGCCCTAATCCCCCAATCCACGTGAACTGCCACCACATAGGGACTGCCCTCTTCAGTTCGCTTCTCTCGCAGGCCCTCAACAGAGAGCATCATGCACTCTCTTTTTCTCCTGCCCTCAACAGCCCCCCAATTCACGTGAACTTCCACCGCATAGGGAGGGCCCTCTTCAGTCCGACAGCAATGCCAAGCTTAGCCGCAATTCAACTACAATCTGTTCTCTTTCCATGGCCTCCTGAGCCCCCTCGTGATGCTGATGATGCACTCTTCGCCGTCGATTACATCACCGGCATCACAACACCCCTCAAAACACTCATTTGTCACTACCGAGTGGCCGCCTCTTTTTGTCGCTCTCCCCCACCAGGCTCTGGGTTCACCTCTCCGGAATTGGCCACCACGCAACTACCCCACCCCCCACGCCCCCTTTACTCACTTCGTTCGCTCCAACAACCTCAAGCCCTGCCTACCGGCTGGCTTTCGTTATATATATATAATATATATTTTTATAAACCTGTGTGTTACTGCTGCGACTCGACTTTTCCCAAAACCTTTGTTTGCACTATGAGATCCAAACGCTTCTATAGATGCTCCCGAAATGGCGGATGTGTCGGTTCCTCACAACCAGTCACACTTGTCACATTGAAACTGCGTTGTTCCAAATGAAACTACAGCTGCCATAGCCACCACATTGATATGCATTGTAAAAGCAAAATCCAATGGCCTGACCAATCTACACGTTGTCGATTTCTTACAATTTCTTGGACCTGAAAGAAGTTGTGTTGACATTTTTTGCGCCCTTGCTCCTTCTTGACAAGCATTGTGAATTTCTAGCAATAGAACCTATCAGGACACAAGGACAATGCACATCTGCCTCCATGACCTTGGGAATGTGCTTGGTGACCTGCGTTCAATGCAGACAGTCCCAACACATCTTCTCTGTGTCCTGCACTGGCTGTCGACTGAACTTAACATGACATAAGTCCGTTCAGGTCTGCAGGAAACAGGACTCAGCCTGAGCGTTCCAAATTGCAACAAGGATCTGTCATCCATTTTTGGGCTAGAAACGGTCCCCTATTCCTTTCGAGCACCACCAAGCGTGACAGGTTTGTTCTCCGTTCTCTTGATTCGCCACTACCACTCAATGCCTCTTGTACATGGATCTCTGGATGTTCCACCACCCTCTCCTGGACCTCGATGCAAATTGCCAATGGAATCGACACTATGGCTAGCCAAATTACAAGATGGTTGCAGAAGTCCATGCGTAGGCTCAACTTGCAAGAAGCTGCGTAGGACAAAAGAAATGCCGCAAAAGCATTGCCTGAACGCAAGGAATTTCTACGATCTTCTCCCGAGTTTCGATGACAGGCTTCTTGACCTGAGCATTCAAATCATTGAACATTCTCAAGAAAATCCGCCCACACCGCTTGTCGGTGCAGGGCGTGCTATGGAGCTCTCTAAGCTCTGCTGCTATGCAAATAGCTTTGCTAAGGGGGGAAAAAATGGTAAAACAGGGATTGTAGGACAATTTTTGTTTAGTGTTGCCTTATAGGATTTTATGTTGAAGTTCAACCTATGAACCTTGCCTTTGATGTTTTCTGGGACTGGTTTTAAGTTGTTTTTTTATTCAAGAGTTTTCATCTCTTCTCTTTTGTTTTTTCTCTCATTATTCCCATTATTCCCGTTTCATCATCTCCCGTTCTGATTTTCTTCGGTTGTTCCTTCCCTTTCAGTTTGGTTTGGTGTTTGATGCTTTGTTGGTGTCTTTTGATTTGGTATTTATTGATTAGGCATTTATATACATTCTGAACATTCTACCTTCTTCTCTTTTTCTGTGTTTGTCATTTTTTCTACTATTTGTTTAGGTATTTTTGCGATGTTGGGGTTTATGTTTTGTAAGTATGCTGTGGTTGTAGGTTGTAAATTTTTATGGGTTGTAGTTATGTTGTAGTTATGTTTTGTTGCGGGGTTGTTTGTCCGATTTCGTCCCTTCGGTCGTCTCCACGGCTTCGGGGTCATCTTCTACCTCCTTTTTTAATCGTCGAGACACCCAGATACTGACTGAAAATGAAAGGGAAACTTGAAGCAGTCGTTTGCGATCCATCGTGAGGAAGTGTTGTCTGTTTAATTGGATTTGGAGTGAGTGCATTGACGTCATTGTTCTCAACTACTCACTGCCAACCTTTTCTGTCAAGCAATTCGCACATCATTCCAACCTTCCCAGACTGACCGATTTGGTTCATTACAACGAGAACCAATGGCGCCAAAGAAGATGGACAAGAAGGATGGCTACTCCTCCTCTTCCACGGGTGAGGAGACAGCACCGCAGGAAGACACGTCTTGCGATGCCATCATTGCCAACATCATCCAACAAATGGAAGACCTGAATGTGAAGCAGATTGAGATGGAGAAGATGCAGAGTCTTGTTGATGCGACCAAGGCATTGACCAAGAAGTGGAACAAGAAGGACAAGAAGTCTCCAGAAGAGCGTGAAGCAGACCGTGTTGCCAAAGCAAAGGCATGGGCAGAGGAGAAGAAGGTGGAGGGCAAGCGCTTTCGTGAGGAATGGTTTGACCTGTACTTCACAGATGGCACGAACAACCATCACTTGCGTGTGATGCGTGGAACAACCATTGGAACGGTGCGCTTGATGCTTGGGCAGTTGACGGGGATGGGACGCACCAAGGCAATGCGCATCCAGATGACCTACAACGACAAGAACATCACTTCATCACCTCGCACGACGGTGGCAAAGTTGTCCCTTCCAAATGGTGCGAACATCACCTTCACTTTGGGTGGTTCGGGAAGTGCTGATGTGGCTGACGATGTATCGTCAGTATCTCAGGATGCGATTGACACAATGCTGGCTCGCGACTTGATTGAGGGTGAGGACGACGAGGATACTGATGATGATGATGATGATGATGATGATAGCGCATCCATCCGTAGAGCCGACTGCACTGAAACCATCATAAAGGGTCTTCTCAAACACATATGGTTGTCCATATGTTAATTTTCAATCAAATCTTGAATTGAGAAGTCGAGGACACGGTGTGGTCAATCTTTGCTCTGACATACCTTTCCGTCCGCATAGGATGTCAAAAAAGAACACAGCGGTCTCTGTATTTCACTCAGTAGCATTCGGTGAGCATTTGCTTTCGGAGATGCATTGTTTCTTCTTTTCACCTTTCAGTCTTGACAGGTTGTGCTTATTGTTTTTGAGATGTCATTTTATGAACCGAAGGTCATTGAACTCCCAAATTCGCATTCATCCCATCCGCTCCGTTTGATATAGTCAGATGCCTTCCGTTGCTTTCATCCGGAAGGATGCAGGCGGTTGTGATGCCTTTTGGATTGAGACCAGTGATGTGCTCTCTCGTAGTTCATTGCCGTGGAGTCCAAACAAGGGGCAGTTGATGACACTGTCAAGGGCAGACCTTTGCAATCTCATTCCTTCAACTGTTCCGCCAGTGAAGAAGGACAACAACAAAGACCAGATTTGCGACATCATCATTGAGAACTGGTCTGACATTGTGGTTGAAGCATCCTTGAGCGGTTCATCATCTTCGGAGGGTGGAGGCAGGGACAAAAACCGTCGTGGTTATGGGGGCAGTGGCGATGATGACAAGGGGGACGAAAACCAAGACCCCGATGAACCTGATGCGTATGACCCCGCTGACTATGGTATGGGAGACTTCTACCTCACTGTTCAGACGTGCTTTGGTGGTAGTGTGTTCAAGAACTTCCTCGTGAATGGCACCTACACCATTGGGATGGTGAAAGTGCTTTGCTCTCAGGAGTGGAAAATGAACCCTCGTCATCAGCGTGTCCTTTACAATGACAACGATGTGTTTGACACATCAACCCTCAATGAGTTGAGCATGGACCACACCAGTGTCTTGAAGTTGGGACTTCGTGGATTGGTCGGTGGCGCTGGTTTCCTTTCAGTGCGCAAACCTCATTTGAAGAAGGATGATGCCATCAACGTGCTGAAAGCAGAGCAGAAGAAACCTTATGAAACGAAAGCCGAACTGGTCATTCCGGACAGTGAGTTGCCCCAGAGTTTCTGTGAATTCTTGGAGGGGGAAAAGGCAAAGATGGATGACATCGTCTTTGAAAGTGAGACTGGGCGACAACTTTTTGAAATCCACACTTCGTCAGGTGAGTTTGGACACCCTCACCACTATCAAAAAACTGTTTGAAAGCAATCGCGCCAAGAAGGGGGAAAAGCATTTGACGACCCCAGAAAAGGTTGAGAAGACCTTCCGATTGATTTACCCTCAAGTCGCTTTGATGGACAAATGCACGAACAAACTTTTCCAGTTTCAGAACGACCGGATGATGGACTTGATGTCATTGTTCTTGGATGAATTCAGCTCATACAACAAGCAACTTGGAAGCGCGACGGTTGATGTTCAGAAGTTTGCCACTGTCATTCAGAAAGAGATTGACAGGAGGGACGACCATCCGGTCGGCGATGAGGCTGTTGGCAATACTTGCCGTATGCATTAGGCAGGACATCCAAACCGGTGCGACTGCGGGGGGGGGAAAAGGTCAGTCAGTGAGCGCTCCCACACATTGGAGAACACCGTTCCCCTGTTCCCCGACCTTGGGGAACACCGTTCCCCTGTTCCCCGACCTTGGGGAACACCGTTCCCCTGTTCCCCGACCTTGGGGAACACCGTTCCGCTGTTCCCCGACCTTGGGGAACGCCGTTCCCCACCTTTGGGGAACACTGATTTTTACAGGGTTTTGAGCATTTTGACCCTTTTTTTCGTTTTGTGCTTTCTCGTGTCGGCTTGAGCGATTGTTCATTGGCAGTGTCTCCCATTCGTGCCCGTCCTGAGGCTAAGAAGACAACCAGAACATCACCTACTTGAAGGGGTGGTTGGGCTCACCAGCCTTCAGAACTTAACATTTAACATTTGGCAATCGTTTCAACCAGCGCTTGGAAACATTCCGTCTTTAACCTTTGGTAAAGACTTCAACCAGAACTTGGAAACCGTCGGATTTGAACGTTTGGCATTTCACTTCAAGTGTTTCTTTTGGAGCGGACGTCTCACACCTATCTATCTATCTATCTAACTATCTCTATTTATCCGTTTGTATCTATGTATCTATGTATCCGTATGTTCTATTTTATTCAGTTGATTTGCATCCATCCTGCTCGTTCAGAAGGGTTGCCATCATCCTCATCAAGCATCAGTCTGGGGGATGGGTTGCGTGTGGCGTCTTTCGCGTATATAGATTGATATATATATATATAGATATATAGAGGTTTATAAGGTGAGAGGTTAGGTGAAGGATGCTGGGCTGGATGGGGGAGCGAACGGTGGCATTTGACCCCAACAAGCACACCCCGTCCAGTTCAGTGGTCCTAAAACAGAGGTCAAACTTTTTAATGTCTGAAAACGTGGCATTGGATGGGGGAGCGACAGGTGGCATTGACCCCATTATGCAAACCCCACCATTGCCACATCAAAATTTTGTAAAGAGAGCGGTGTTCCTTTGGGAGTGATGCCGAATTGTTTTCATCACTCCCATCCGTCGCCGGTCTCACGTAGTGGGCTCAAGTGGCAGGCAAAGGGATTGGATAAGTGAAGATTTCGTGAGAAGTGAAGATTTCGTGGCAACACCTCACCACCTTTTCAACAGCACACCCCAAAATCACTTAAAGAAAAGACGCCTTTTAGAATTAAGATATATTAACATGATTTGCTATTTAGTGATGGACGGAATTAAGCAGGAGATGGACGAAGATGTTTTTGACAGAATGGTTGAAGCGCTTCATCAACCAACCACCCCAAACAACACACCCACAACAAACAGTAGGACCTATGACAAGAAACCATTAGACCCAGATTATTTCAAGAACTATTTTCAAAAGAACCTCAAACAACCCTTCAAGTGTCCAGACTGCGGACGCACAATGAGTAGCAAATCCAATTTATCCAAACACCGCCAAACCAAGGTCTGTATGAGCAACCGACGCCATTGAACAAGCGTTGAAGTCCAACCCAAAACCCAAAAACTCCAACAGCAGACCAAAATCCAAAAACTACTTAAAGAAATGCCACCTTATATAGTAAGGAGTATATGGTAGAGGGTTCAATGTTGAAAGAAGTTCATAAGGATGAAAACCAACACAACTCACACACACTTCAACCACAACACCCTCATTCAAACAACGTCCCAGCAAATTCACTTAAAGAAACATTACCTAATAATAATCTAGAAAATACTATAATGGACAGTTCAGACAAGACCGTTTTAGATTATCTTATATCATCCGAAAAGGGTGAGATACGCAACAACAGGAAACTAGGGGAGAAGACCTACAACTTCAAACGAAACGAACCATTAACACAGAGATTGAAG